AGACTCTAGGCAATTTATTACATCCAAAAGTGTTAATTCATACAAAGTATGCATGGCCAAGACCAAAATATACATAATAATACAACACAGGTGTGCATACACAATATTACGCACAGGGCCTGGCATGACCAGCCGATTGATAAGACCGGGCCCATCTTACCACCCGTCTAGGCGAAGTAAGGGTCAAAGTAGTGTGTTGGGCAAAGGAACACAGTTCCAGGAACCAGTGCCCTCAACTACCAGACTCCCGTCCTCCGCCGACACATGGACGCAACCCACGGCAAACAGGTTGCCCATTTTAGTCGCCTCATACGACCAGCAATGGGAGGCTGTGGAAATATTCTGCCCCGGTTCCACACGGGGGAAGAGCGATTAGCGTTACCCAGCACTCACCACGAGGAGGTTGCTCTTCACGAGTGCCCATACATCAAAGAATACATACACAAATATTAAAACAATGATCCACAACTTCTTACAAATTATAGTGTTTAAGATAATACAATAAGTTAGCAAAAGTAGGAAGTCTCATAGACATAATGCAATATGAGATTGCTAAACAACCTACATTTTTGGACCTCTAGATCTGTCAGATGAGAATTCACAGTGGAAAATGAGAACTGTCGGTTGGCTAGCAGGACGTTGAACAAGCTCAGACATGCCTTCCTCTAATATTACAAATGTCAAACAGGACGGATGAACAGATTACATAGTCTACATCGGAGTGTGACTCAGTGTCCAAATTATTACATATGTTAAACAGGACGGATGACATACATAGTCTACATCGGAGCTTGACTCAGTGTCCAAATTATTACAAATGTCAAACAGGTCGGATGACATACATAGTCTACAACGCTCGCTCCCTGCGTGCCAATAAAAGCGTCAACCCCAGAGTTCGAATCTGTACCGCATCTTCCATTCATGATATGAATAATAAAAACACTGCACAATTCCAACAAGCATTTACCAAGCCTGTTTACTATCTGTTTGTTATCAAGACATATCTTAATCGAACAGTAAGAAAATGCCCCGTTCACATATCTCTATCCAGTTTAAAGTGGGTTACAATCAGAACAATAACAAAAGCTGACACTCTTCCGAACTTCGTTCACCATATTTCAAGTATACATCAAATTAACTGAAAATAGTATATAAATCGGTATCGGGTAACCAATGACATCAAACGAGGTAACAACATTCATAAAACTAAAATCATCGAGTCTGACGCTCAGACCAGACACATTCCAGAAACTAAATCTAATGTTGTCAGTGTGGAAAGTTTCCTTAGTAACAGAGTCAGTTATATTTCTTACACTTGGATGAGGAGAAATGTCATTTGTAATTTCACCTTAATGAAGTTTACTATAATCACAAATGCCATGGCCACTTCCCTGTTTACTGCCTGTTATTTATCTAGTGTGAACGCTTGAGCCAAATTTGGCACCATGATGGGGCCCCTGCTGATCCTGCTCACGTGGATGACTGTCTACAGTGTCACTACACTGCTGGTCGGAAGTCAAATCACCGCCCGCAGGTTGTGCCAGGATATCGACTGCTATCACTTCTCACACTCTCTGCGGGGCGGTCGGGTAGCCTAGTGGTTAAAGCGTTCGCTCGTCACGCCGAAGACCCGGGTTCGATTCCCGACATGGGTACAATGTGTGAAGCCCATTTGTGGTGTCCCCCGCCGTGATATTGCTGGAATATTGCTAAAAGCGGCTCTCTCACTCACTCACTCACTCTCACACTCTCTGCAATGTTTCCACCTTTATAATAAAAGTGTTTATCAGGGTACAATGTTCTCACCATATTTAACTCTGAACGCTGATTACGTGTCAAATCTCTGGCAGCTCCAATCCCCATATCCTTTAGTGTGGCTCTCATACCAACAATCTGTAGCTTGTCCATCCAGTAGGTCAGTCTCACTGTGAGTGGGTGTGGTGTCCTGCCTCCTCGTGAGGGGAGCCTGTGAGTACCTTCTACATCTTTAGTAGATAGACGGGGAGACGTCGGGGCCTGGATCCTTATCTAGCTCTGTTGACAATGTCTAGTGCTTTGTCACTGCACACATCGTAGCAACCCTACCAGATTCAGGGACTCCATGGAGAATAAGATTGTTTTGTCGACTGTAACGTTCATGGTGTTCAACTCTCTCCTCATTATGACGGAGTATATCACAGTAGATGTTCATACCTCAAGTTCTTACCCTAGAGCATATATATCCAATCTCATTATATCTTGAGGTTCTGTAGTACTGTCTACAATCCTTTCTCAGATCACGTACCTCGTCCTTAATTAACTTAAGCTCTGTTTTAATTGAGTCGATGTTGTTATTTACTCTCTCTTTTGATCCTCTAATTTCCTCAGCTAATGTCCTCTTTAACTTACCAGATCTGTTACAGGTCCAGGGTTAAGCTCAATGTCACCAGACAATCATATCACAGTGTTGTCCAACATCAATCTTATTGTCCAGTTTTTGAAATGTCAACAAAGTAGGGCAAGTTCCGCAGGTAAGGATATTCCCACAACACTCACCTGACATACACGTCGCTGGTGGCGGAATAAGGTAACACGGAAGGTATAGTTGATGGTGTAGATGACCCTTGATACCACGCAGAGGCCAGAAGTGTTGTATAAAACAACAAACGATTGGCCACGTTGGTCTCGCCTGACCAGTCTGACAACGGAGTGAAGGGAAGAATTTGTTCTACTTACCTGTAACCTGAAGGCGTCTTGACTCTGGGCCCTCCACACATTGATTGATAGTTTCAATACAAACCACAGGAGAAGGAAATGGAAACTGCACTCCAATCGCGGATAAGTTAAGTTGTCGATGCAGAGATTTTGATATTTCACACATCATCTGAGTACAGTTAGATAAACACCGTGTTTCAAGTACTATTACTGGTGAACTAAGAATGAGCGCAAGAAACAGTACAATGATTATTCATACCAAGAACGATTGATGTTTCAACAAAGTGCCATCGTTAGATAAAGGAAGCACATTTGTTGGTAAGGCGAAGTACAAGCGAAAGTTAGAGGAAGTATACTTGATGGTTAGACGAAGTACACTTGATCGTTAAACGAAGAACAATCGATGGTTAGACGAAATAAAAAAACTTAGACGAAGTACAATAGATGGTTAGACGAAGTACAATCGATTTTTCTTCATCTAACCATCTATTGTTCTTCGTCTAACCATCAATTGTACTTCGTCTAACCATTGATTGTTCTTCGTCTAACCATCGCTTGTACTTCGTCTAACCATCTATTGTACTTCGTCTAACCATCACTTGTACTTCGTCTAACCATCTATTGTACTTCGTCTAACCATCGATTGGACTTTGTCTAACCATGTATTGTACTTTGTCTAACCATCAGTTGTACTTCGTCTAACCATCTATTGTACTTCATCCAACCATCGATTGTACTTCGTCTAACCATCTATTGTACTTCATCTAACCATCTATTGTACTTCGTCTAACCATCAATTGTACTTCGTCTAACTATCGATTGTTCTTCGTCTACCCATCACTTGTACTTCGTCTAACCATCTATTGTACTTCGTCTAACCATCGATTGGACTTCGTCTCACCATCGATTGTACTTTGTCTAACCATCTATTGTACTTCGTCTAACCTTCTATTGTACTTCGTCTAACTATCAATTGAACTTCGTCTAACCATCGATTGTACTTCGTCTAACCATCAGTTGTACTTCGTCTAACCATCTATTGTACTTCGTCTAACCATCGATTGAACTTCGTCTATCCATCGATTGTTCTTTGTCTACCCAACGCTTGTACTTCATCTAACCATCGATTGGACTTCGTCTAACCATGTATTGTACTTCGTCTAACCATCAGTTGTACTTCGTCTAACCATCTATTGTACTTCGTCTCACCATCGATTGTTCTTTGTCTACCCATCGCTTGTACTTCATCTAACCATCAATTGTACTTCGTCTAACCATCAATGGTACTTCGTCTAACAATCGATTGTACTTCGTCTAACCATCGATTGGACTTCGTCTAACCATGTATTGTACTTCGTCTAACCATCGCTTGTACTTGTCTAACCATCTATTGTACTTCGTCTATCCAACAGTTGTACTTCGTCTAACCATCGATTGTACTCCTCTAACCATCACTTGTACTTCGTCTAACCATCGATTGTTCTTTGTCTACCCAACGCTTGTACTTCATCTAACCATCGATTGTACTTCGTCTAACCATCAATCTCGATGGTAAGACGAACTATAATCGTTATTTAGACGAGGTACAATTGTAGGTTAGATGAATTTGTTTTCCCGACTTCTCTATTGACCAGAGAGTAATCTCCCCTACAGTGTGGACAGAAGTTACTACGATTTCGAGGTGTAGGTGTATGTCTTTCACTCCACAAACCAGCCTTTCCATAGTTAGGAGGTGGAGTGAAATGGGGTTTAACGTAGCGTTCAAGATTATGACACTTATATTGCGACGTACATGCACGTTTGTTTGTTTATTATTTAACGACGCACTCAGCAATATGTCAGCTATATGACGGCAGTCTGTAAATATTCGAGTCTGAACCAGACAATCCAGTCACTGATATCATGAGCATCAATCCACGCAATTGTCAGCCAGCCTGACCACCCGATCATATTCGTCACGTCCTACGACAAGCATGGGTTGTTGTCCATTTCTAACCCGGATCGTCACAGGTCTTCAAATATGAATACCCAACACAGACACAGTATGCTGATTCCAAGCTGACCAGTCTTTGATTTATCCTCTGATGTCGAGCGCCAGGCAGGGAAACAAAAAGTACCATCTTTAACCGTCTTTTGGTATGACGCGGCCGGGGATCGAACCACCGACCGTCCGCTGGCCAGGTGCTCTCCAGGCGGACGCTCTATCCACTAGACCAAGGAGTCGGTCCAACCTTTCTCTAATTTTTAAAAACTTTTAAGTGAGACAACCAGTGCAGGCGAGTGTGTTCACAAACAACATACATTCCTTTTAAGTTGGAGACATTCTTTTAATAGATCGCAAATAATACACAAGAAGCTTGATCAGCAAAACTAATTGTAAAATATAATTCCGGGAATATCTCCATCCCACACAGTAAAATCGCAGCTATGCGTTTCTGAAAGCACCGTCACGTTAAGCGGTATAATGTCCAACTTTGCCAGTAGACAACAGACAGGAATCTCAGATTAAAGTACTCCATCTGATTTATCGTTTCGAAGACATTCTGATTTGGAACACGGTATTAAAATACCTGTGGTTTCAGTTAATTAGAGAATTAGGTTTTACGCTTCCTTTTCTATTGTTTACCTGTAATATTTCAAAATGCCAAATGGATTTCACACATTGTACATGAGAGGTTTGACGAGAGAATGTTTCAGCTAGGCTACCCCAGCAGCACTGGACCTAGTTACCCATTTAGCATTGCTTTTATGAGATATGGTACATGTTGTTACAGTGTACCAGCCATGGCCACGTTTTCACAACATCCGTCTGAAAGTAACACTAACATATCCCTTACAATGTCAGTGTGAATACCACGCTGTGACTTCTAATTTCCATTTGGACATCGTTCACGGCGCCAAGGAGATATGGCTAAGGCATCGGATGTCGCTGTACCTAATTACCTCCCTTAGCAGTGTCATGATCCAATGATCATGGATTCGAATCTCATGTAATCTCATGTAATTGGAAACGTATTTATATGTGTGCAGAACCTTTTACAACTAACACCACTAACATAACAAAGCATGTGAAAACAAAGCATAATTTGGACAATAATTGAAAGCGGTCCAATGTTCATTTTCACTCTAGACTCAGTATAACGAAAACATAGACAATTGATAAAGATTGGATACAAAATTAAAGTATCGATGATCGATAACATGCATCAACCAAGTCAGCGAGCCTGACCACCCACTCTCGTTTGTCGCCTCTTACGACACACGTAGTCGCCTTTTACGGCAAGCATGGGTTGCTGAAGACCTATTCTACCCCGGATCTTCACGGGTAGAATACAGAAAGGAAACTGTTACAAGATATTTAAAGAACTCCACCTTCTTTTGTCCAAATGAAATTGTAGTTACATTGTGTGTAATTCGTCTGACCTATTTAGCATCAACAGGACTTGATTCCAAAATTCATCTTCATTCCCACCACGCCCAGACCAGGTCATGACCCTACAATCTTGTAGTAGACGGGATAGAAACTCGGACATATACCTATCATCGATGTCCTCCAATAGGACGACAACAAACGCCTCGTGGGGGTCCTCTAAGCGTTTCTGTACCAAGGACAGCTCGAACTGACACCCAATGTCCTTACAGAAGCTAGTGGACACGATCATGAGAACCTTCCGACAGCCATTAAGATTCTTCACAATGCTGTCCATGATGTGAATCTTAGGATCAAAATCCCGTGAACGGAAACAAATCCTCAAACGACCTTTGTCCTCCAAGTTGGGCAATGCTTGATGTCTGACCCACACGAAGTCTTCATCCGAGTACAGAAGGTAGACGTCACTCATCAGGAGAGGTATGGATTCAGATGAGGAGCTACGTGTCCTCCTTTTCCAAACTAGAAAGTAGCGGATATCCCACCTCCACTTGTATCCCAGAGCGAAACATAAAAGACACATCAGTACAGCAACAACAACACCAACTACTAGAAAGACATACTTTCTATCATAGACGCATTCATAGTACGTCACAGATTGAACATCCACCAGTCTCTGCCCTTTAGTTTCCGGAGGGCTAAAACAAGTATAAAAGGATAAACGACGGCTGAACAAACTTCGGGCTTTGACAAGCCAATTTCTCAACCAAAGTAAGTCACAGTCACAATTGAAGGGATTGCCTTCGATATTGGCATAGACGAGACGACTCCGTATGGAGTTCGGTATAAGCAAATAGCTGAGATTGTTGTGACATAATGACATATTCAGAAGCTTTATGTTGTTGACAAACATATTCTTACGTATGAAACTGATGTCATTATAACCTAGAAAAATGTCCTTCAGTTCAGCCAGGTCCGATATGACATCAGGCATTTTTTGTAAGCTGCAGTTGGTGCAGTTCAAATAGTTCAATGTTTTGTGTAATGGTCGCAAAAGGTGATCAAGTTTTTCTGCGGTGATGTTATTATCGGAGAGGTCAAGGTGGTTGAGACTGTTGCATCCAATGAATGCCTCGTCATCAATATCAGTCTGAGGAGATGACAACTGTTTCATAATAAGCTTTTGAAGACTCTTAAATGAACTGAAGGTCTCACTACCTATCACCTGAATGGGGTTCCCCGATATATGCAAATGAGTCAGACACAGTCCTGTACACATTCTCAAACAACCGAAACTACTCTTATTCAGATACGAAATCTGATTGTAACCAATTCGAAGGGTGTACAGGTTAGGGAAGGCAGATTTACCATTGGAACAGAAATCAGGCATCGATGTAATATTATTATGACTTATCCACAGTGAAGCCAGTGTCTTGGAAAATACCCGATTGAAGTTATCTGGGTATATTCTAATCGTGTTGCTATTAAGATTCAAAGTTGTCAGTTCAGGAAACCCAGAAAAGTGGCTAAAGTTAAATTTGGCCAAATTGTTTCCAACAAGATGGATCCCTGTTATTGGGCTTTTTTGGAGACCCTTCAGTAGATTCTCTTCAAGATCCGAGTCGCTGATGCCAATGTGATTGAGATAGATGTAACTTAAAGTAGAAGCCAATGAATGAAAAGCAGCGGCAAGTTTTGTGAGAATGAGAGGGTTATGACTTAGTGATAGGCTTTGTAACTTGGTCAATTTCCTGAAGGCCTGTTCAGATACATGGGATATATTGCTGTGTACAAGATTAAGATGCTTTAGGTTTAATGTAGTGAGGTTTTCAAAAGTGTTGTGTCCGATATACGGAAGGTAGTTATTTTGAAAGAGAAAAATTGTAATAGCACACTCACTTCTCAGTTTAGGAATATATGTTAAACGGTCGTGATTACCACTACAATTAGCAGTGTTATTACGACACCAACAAAGGTTTTCATAACATGGCCTTCCATAAGGATTAGGAATCTCCCCGCTGCTGGTATAAATACTAACTAGACAACCCACCAACAGGAGGGCAAGCAGTGTCTCTGACGTCATCATCTACCGACCGTGATGTGTCTTATTTGTAACCTTCTCCTTTTCCTGGTACCTCCTCAAGAACTAAAACGATTCCTTACCTATCATTTCACAAACAGCCAAACATTATTTAGTTGTACACAATCATATACATATATCTAGGATAAAAAGTGACATGCGAAATTTTTGCCTCCAAAGTTACACATATGCCAGATTAAGTCACAGTAATACACACAGCATAAGGATGAGACGCACTATGTCTGACAATCTTCCAGATGTCGTACTGGTCACCACACAGTTAAGCAGATGCCGAACTGGCTACCTTCAGTTCCATAGATATCGTATTGGGAACTTCCAACGTTACATAGACGGCGAAATGGTTGCCTCCAAAGTTACACATGTGCCTTATTGAGTCACAGTTTTTCACACAGACTATGTCTAGGTCACCACACAGTTAAGAAGATGCCATACTGGTTGCGTTGGTTACACAGGTGCTGTGCCAGTTACCTCCACAGTTACACAGGTGCTGTGCTAGTTACCTCCAGAGATACGCAGGTGCAGCGTTGGTTACCTCCACAGTTACCCTGATGTCGCACTGTCACCTCCACAGCTATGTTGATGCCGCACTGTCACCTCAGCAGTTACACAGGTGCTGTGCTAGTTACCTCCACAGTTACACAGGTGCTGTGCTAGTTACCTCCAGAGATACGCAGGTGCAGCGTTGGTTACCTCCACAGTTACCCTGATGTCGCACTGTCACCTCCACAGCTATGTCGATGCCGCACTGGCTACCTCCACAGTTACACAGGTGCTGTGCTAGTTACCTCCACAGTTACACAGGTGCTGTGCTAGTTACCTCCAGAGATACGCAGGTGCAGCGTTGGTTACCTCCACAGTTACCCTGATGTCGCACTGTCACCTCCACAGCTATGTTGATGTCGCACTGGTTACCTCAACAGATACCCTGATGCCGCACTTGTGATCACCAAACCACACAGATTCAGTACTGGCTACCACCAAACCACACAGATTCAGTACTGGCTACCACCAAGCCACACAAATTCAGTACTGGCTACCCCCAAGCCACACAGATTCAGTACTGGCTACCACCAAACCACACAGATTCAGTACTGGCTACCTCCAATCCACGCAGATTCAGTACTGGCTACCACCAAGCCACACAGATTAAGTACTGGTAACCCCCAAACCACACAGATTCAGTACTGGCTACCACCAAGCCACACTGGTTCAGTACTGGCTACCTCCAATCCACGCAGATTCAGTAATGGCTACCATCAAGCCACACTGGTTCAGTACTGGCTACCTCCAATCCACGCAGATTTAGTACTGGCTACCGCCAAGCCACACAGATTAAGTACTGGCTACCTCCAAGCCTCACTGGTTCAGTACTGGCTACCTCCAAGCCACACAGATCCAGTACTGGTTACCTCCAAGCCACACAGATTCAGTACTGGCTACCTCCAAGCCACACAGATTCAGTACTGGCTACCTCCAAGCCACACAGATTCAGTACTGGCTACCCCCAAGCCACGCAGATTCAGTACTGGCTACCACCAAGCCACGCAGATTTAGTACTGGCTACCACCAAACGTCACTGATTCAGTACTGGCTACCACCAAGCCACGCAGATTCAGTACTGGTTACCTCCAAGCCACACAGATTGAGTACTGGCTACCTCCAAGCCTCACTGGTTCAGTACTGGCTACCAACAAGCCTCACTGGTTCAGTACTGGCTACCACCAAGCCTCACTGGTTCAGTACTGGCTACCACCAAGCCTCACTGGTTCAGTACTGGCTACCTCCAAGCCTCACTGGTTCAGTACTGGCTACCACCAAGCCTCACTGGTTCAGTACTGGCTACCCCAAAGCCACACAGATTCAGTACTGGCTACCACCAAGCCTCACTGGTTCAGTACTGGCTACCCCCAAGCCACGCAGATTCAGTACCGGTTACCCAAAAGCCACACAGATTCAGTACCGGTTACCGAAAAGCCACACAGATTCAGTAATGGCTACCACCAAGCCACACAGATTCAGTACTTATTACCCCAAAGCCACACAGATGCAGTCCTGGTTACCACCAATTTCTCACACTAACGCAGATTCCTGACAGGTTACAGTCGCTGTCGATGTTTAAGTGAGCGCCACAGTCATGTCGACCTGTATCTTCAGTGCCACACAGTCCTGATACACACGACGAATTGTGTCCTGGTCACAAGGAAAATGAAACGTGTCTTTATCGACTACATACACCGCAATCCAAACACGCACTGCTAGCGATAGTATCGTACAGGGAAGTAGAACTGGCTCAAAGGCAAAGGTCGTGTAATATTAAAAATACACAGGACCTTAAACCCATTTACGGGACATTTGACACACGCATGGCCATAGATGTAATATTTGAGTCCAGGGGAAAATAGTGTCTATACAAAACATCCGAGAGGGAAATGGACACTGCACTACAATCGCGGATAAGTTAAGTTGTCGATGCAGAGATGTTATTATTTCATACAAAATCTGGGTACAGTTAGACCAACAGCATGTCTCAAAAACTCTTACTGGTGAACTAAGGTTGAGCGCAAGAAAATGCATAATCATTGTTCATACTAAGTACGATAGCTGGTTTAACAAAGTACAATCGTTAGATGAAGGAAGCACAATTTTTGTTAAGGCCAATTACAATCGATGGTTAGACGAAGTACAAGCGATTGTTAGACGAAGTGCAATCGATTGATGGACGAAGAACAATCGATGGTTAGACGACGTATAAGCAATTGTTAGACGAAGTACAATCGATGGTTAGACGACGTACAATCGATCGTTAGAGGAAGTACAATCGATGGTTAGATGACGTCCAATCGATTGTTAGAGGAAGAACAATCGATGATTAGACGAAGTACAAGCAATAGTTAAACGGTATTTAAAAACCTGTTGGGTTTTACGCCCCTTTTTATATTATTTACCTGTAATTTCACAGCGGAGGCGGGACCAACATGTGATTTACACTGTACATGTGAGGAATCGAATTCAGGATTTCGGCGAGACGAGAGAATGTTTTAGCCACTAGGCTATCCCAGCAGCACTGGTCCTAGTTAGCATTGCTAATCTCAAGTTTACAAATACAATATACAGTCAAACACAGTTACGTCGAAGTTGACGGGACCTACGTTAATACTTCGAGTTATCCGAGGTTCGACATGATAATGATTACAGAAGGAATATTCAGGGGCCATGCTTTTGACTTCGAGACAACTGTACGTTCGACACATCAAAGTTCGATAAAGCGGTGTTTGATTGTATAACAAATAGAACAAAGACAAAACGATCTACAAATATAGTAATATATAATAATGGGAGTAATATTAATGAAATGCTGGACTATATACTTATTTACGAAAGTATTTGATTCCGTAAAATGGAGTTTTATTCAAAATGTCAATATATTACACAATGGATAGAAAAATAAAGATCAACTGTTCTAGCTGCCTTCCCATCCAACAAGGCTATTTTGGTAAAGAGACCTTCTTTCATCGTCCATATATTTGTACTGGACACTGTCACACTGTTGTTGTACTGGACACTGTCACTTTCACACTGGTATTGTACTGGACACTGACGCACTGGTGATGTACTAGACACTGACACTGTCACACTGGTGTTGTACTAAACACTGACACTGTCACACTGTTGTTGTACTGGACACTGACACACTGGTGTTGTACTAGACACTGACACTGTCACACTGGTGTTGTACTGGACACTGACACTGTCACACTGTTGTTGTACTAGACACTGACACTGTCAAACTGGTGTTGTACTAGACACTGACACTGTCAAACTGGTGTTGTACTGGACACTGTCACACTGTTGTTGTACTGGACACTGTCACTTTCACACTGGTGTTGTACTGGACACTGACACACTGGTGATGTACTAGACACTGACACTGTCACACTGGTGTTGTACTAAACACTGACACTGTCACACTGGTGTTGTACTAGACACGGACACACTGGTGTTGTACTAGACACTGACACTGTAACATTGGTGTTGTACTAGACACTGACACTGTCACACTGGTGTTGTACTAGACACTTACACTGTCACACTGGTGTTGTACTAGACACTGACACTGTCAAACTGGTGTTGTACTAGACACTGACACTGTCACACTGGTGTTGTACTAGACACTGACACTGTCACACTGGTGTTGTACTGGACACTGACACACTGGTGTTGTACTAGACACTGTCACTATCACATTGGTGTTGTACTAGACACTGACACTGTCACACTGGTGTTGTACTAGACACTGACACTGTCACACTGGTGTTGTACTAGACACTGACACTGTCAAACGGGTGTTGTACTAGACACTGACACTGACACACTGGTGTTGTACTAGACACTGACACTGTAACATTGGTGCTGTACTAGACACTGACACTGTCACACAGGTGTTGTACTAGACACTTACACTGTCACACTGGTGTTGTACTAGACACTGACACTGTCACACAGGTGTTGTACTAGACACTTACACTGTCACACTGGTGTTGTACTAGACACTGACACTGTCAAACTGGTATTGTACTAGACACTGACACTTTCACACTGGTGTTGTACTAGACACTGACACTGTCACACTGGTGTTGTACTGGACACTGACACACAGGTGTTGTACTGGACATGGTCACACTGGTATTGTACTGGACACTGTCACTTTCACACTGGTATTGTACTGGACACTGACGCACTGGTGTTGTACTAGACACTGACACTGTCACACTGGTGTTGTACTAGACACTGACACTGTCACACTGTTGTTGTACTGGACACTGACACACTGGTGTTGTACTAGACACTGACACTGTCACACTGGTCTTGTACTGGACACTGACACTGTCACACTCTTGTTGTACTAGACACTGACACACTGGTGTTGTACTAGACACTAACACTGTCACACTGGTGTTGTACTAGACACTGACACTGTCAAACTATTGTTGTACTGGACACTGTCACACTGGTGTTGTACTAGACACTGACACTGTCAAACTGCTGTTGTACTAGACACTCACACTGTCACGCTAGTGTTGTACTAGACACTTACACTGTCACACTGGTGTTGTACTAGACACTGACACTTTCACACTGGTGTTGTATTGGACACTGTCACACTGGTGTTGTACTGGACACTGACACACTGGTGTTGTACTGGACACTGTCACACTGGTGTTGTACTAGACACTGACACTGTCACACTGGTGTTGTTCTGGACACTGACACTGTCACACTGGTGTTGTACTGGACACTGACACACTGGTGTTGTACTAGACACTGACACTGTAACATTGGTGTTGTACTAGACATTGACACTGTCACACTGGTGTTGTACTAGACACTGACACTGTCACACTGGTGTTGTAGTAGACACTCACACTGTCAAACTGCTGTTGTACTAGACACTGACACTATCACACTGGTGTTGTACTGGACACTGACACTGTCAAACTGGTGTTGTACTGGACACTGACACTGTCACACTGGTGTTGTATTAGACACTTTCACTCTGGTGTTGTACTGGACACTGACACACTGGTGTTGTACTGGACACTGACACACTGGTGATGTACTAGACACTGACACTGTCACACTGGTGTTGTACTAAACACTGACACTTTCACACTGGTGTTTTATTGGACACTTTCACACTGGTGTTGAATTGGACACTGACACACTGGTGTTGTACTGGACACTGTCACACTGGTGTTGTACTGGACACTGTCACTTTCACACTGGTGTTGTACTAGACACTGACACACTGGTGTTGCACTAGACACTGACACTGGCACACAGGTGTTGTACTAGACACTGACACTGTCACACTGGTGTTGTACTAGACACTGACACTGTCACACTGGTGTTGTACTAGACACTGACACTGTCAAACTGGTGTTGTACTAGACACTGACACTGACACACTGGTGTTGTACTAGACACTCACACTGGCACACTGGTGTTGTACTAGACACTGACACTGGCACACAGGTGTTGTACTAGACACTGACACTGTCACACTGGTGTTGTACTAGACACTGACACTGTCACACTGGTGTTGTACTAGACACTGACACACTGGTGTTGTACTAGACACTGACACTGTAACATTGGTGTTGTACTAGACACTGACACTGTCAGACTGGTGTTGTACTAGACACTTACACTGTCGCACTGGTGTTGTACTAGACACTGATACTGGCACACAGGTGTTGTACTAGACGCTGACACTGTCACACTGTTGTTGTACTAGGCACTGACACACTGGTGTTGTACTAGACACTTACACTGTCACACTGGTGTTATTCTGGACACTGACACACTGGTGTTGTACTAGACACTGTCACTATCACATTGGTGTTGTACTAGACACTGACACTGTCACAGTGGTGTTGTGCTAGACACTGACACTGTCACACTGGTGTTGTACTAGACACTGACACTGTCGAACGGGTGTTGTACTAGACACTGACACTGTCACACTGTTGTTGTACTAGACACTGACACACTGGTGTTGTACTAGACACTGACACTGTCACACTGGTGTTGTACTAGCCACTGACACTGTCACTCTGGTGTTGTACTAGACACTGACACTGTCACACTGGTGTTGTGCTAGACACTGACACTGTCAAACTGGTGTTGTACTAGACACTGACACTGTCACGCTGTTGTTGTACTAGACACTGACACTGTCAAACTGTTGTTGTACTGGACACTGACACACTGGTGTTGTACTAGACACTGACACTGTCACACTGGTGTTGTACTAGACACTGACACTTTCACACTCTGGTTGTACCAGACACTGACACTGTCAAACTGGTGTTGTACTAGACACTGACACTGTCAAACTGGTGTTGTACTAGACACTGACACACTGGTGTTGTAATGGACACTGACACTGTCAAACTGTTGTTGTACTGGACACTGACACACTGGTGTTGTACTAGACACTGACACTGCCACACTGGTGTTGTACTAGACACTGACACTGTCACACTGGTGTTGTACTAGACACTGACACTGTCAAACTGGTGTTGTACTAGACACTGACACACTGGTGTTGTAATGGACACTGACACTGTCAAACTGTTGTTGTACTGGACACTGACACACTGGTGTTGTACTAGACACTGACACTGCCACACTGGTGTTGTACTAGACACTGACACTGTCACACTGGTGTTGTACTAGACACTGACACTGTCACACTGGTGTTGT